TTACTCTAAAAAAAAGCAAACAAAAACCGGTATGAAAGTCTGTTTGGCAGAGAAGACCAGAAAGATGCTCTATGTTTCGATATGTGACCCTTACTCAGGATCAGTTAATCCTCTAAATATTTTCTTAGCTTTCAGGGTGCTCTTTTTTTTTTTCTTCTTTTTTTCCTTGTTATCAGGGATTGAACTCAGGACCTTGAACTTGCAAAGCAGGTGTGGCACCACTGAGCTAAACCCCGGCCCAGCTCTCCTCACTTTTAAACGTGTCCCCCGGACTCAGTCTTTGACTTTTACTCTTCTCGGTGCACACTCTCCTTATCTGGTCGTGCATAGCTTGCAACACTATTTATATACCAATGATTTCCATAGTTTTATCCCCATCCTGGACATCTCACAAACCCACACTAGAATATGTAACTGTTTAATCATGTATTTCCTCTTAAATGTCTCACAGACATCTCAAAGTGACATGTCCAAGATTAAACTGATTTCTGATTCCTCCCTAAACTGCCCCCACTGCAGCCTTCCCCATGTCACTTGATGGAAATCCATTCTTTTAAGTCTTCGACGCATCTTAAATTCTTTATCTCATAGTCCATCAGCAAATCCCGTGGGTCTACTTTTAAACGCTTTCCAGAATCCATCCACTTGCTACCACCTCCACTACTGCATCTTGAAATGTTTTTTTTTTTTCATTGATTACTGCGGTCGTCTTCCAACAGATCTCTACTGCTTATATTAATCAGAAGGATATTTTTATTTTTATTTTATTTATTTTTTGAGACACGGTCTCACTGTGTAGTCCAGGCTAGCCTTGAACTCCCTTGTGTATCCCAGGATGGCCTCTAAATGGCTGTGATCCTCCTACCTCAGCCTCTTGAATTTTGGGGTTACAAGTGTGCGCCACCATACCTGGATAGAAGGATATTTTTTTAAAGCTTAGGTCAGATCGTGTCATTCTACCACCCAAATCTTTGCAACGACTTCCCCTTTATTCAGAATTAAAAGTCATACCGAGATCTACAAAGCCTTCCACCACTGGCTCCATCGCACTCTTTCCCTATAGCTTGCACTGCCCCACCCACATTGGCCATCTTGCTGTTCGTTGACAACCCCGGGGCATGCTTCTTACCAGGAGCGTTTGTACCGGCTGTTGCTTCTGGATGGAATGCTTTTATCCGCGGATGTTGGCTTAGCTTCTCCAGTCTCTGATTTCATGTCATCTTTTCAGTGAGACTCACTCAGAGCATCTTGCTACATCTGTGCACCATGCCTTCATGCTCCGGATTCTTCTCTGCTCTCCCCAACCCACAGCAGCTGCCTGCTGACGTTACTTTCTAGGTTTGTTCGCTTAGTTCTAGAAGAGAAGTTCAATAGGGCATAGAACTGTATTTTGTTCACTGATGTAGCCCAAGCACCTAGGATAGTTCCTGGTCATAGTAGGCCCTCAGTATTTACTGAATGACAAATGAATACGTAAAGGCCTCAAACTGGTGGCCACAGAACCAAATGTTGCTTCCAATGCTAGTTTTTCTCATCTATTTTCGTTAGTAGCCAGTATTTAAATATTGCGGGAGTTCACTCCGAGTTCTTTGCAGTTTCTGTTGAAAAATCGTGAGATCTGACACTACTATGTTCCTGCATGGCCACCAGATGGAGCTGAGTCCTGCTGCATTTTAATTTATTTGTTTGTTAGTTTTTCCGGCTGCATTTTAGACAGGGATGAGCTTCTCCTTTGCTGTAGCCCCACCCCCTGCAGCACCGCCAATTTCCGTTCACTGACTGGGCCTCTGGAAGTGTTTAGGGATCCCTCCCCTACCTGGCAGTGGAGAAAGTTCAGTAATCTGTGCTGCCTCTGGGTTAAGGGCAGGGATGATACCAGTGCGAGACCTGACTGAGTAAAGTGACTCCTTGTTGGCTGGCTAATGACCCCAGAGTCTGCTGTGCGCCCCTCCCCTTATCAAACAACAGGTACTGGGGACACAACATTCAGTTTTGGCCTGAACTCGTCCGGATGGAAAGCTTGGGTCAGCTCCCTCAAGGACCAATTATTGTTCTATCGCTCGTCCTCACCTTTGGTCCCTGCATGGAAAGACGGAGATCAAAACTCATACATCAGAGAGCAGCTGCTGCCCAACATTATCAGATGCTAATTATGTGGAATGATGAAAATTGGTATGAGCAGAACAAGGGGTAAGGAGTTAGCCCCAAACAAAGGGAGGAATGACAGGGAAAACTTTTATAAATGGCAAAAACCTATAAAATGTGACAGTGCAAAATGGCTTCTGCTGTCTCTCACAGCAGTTTGTTTTGTTTAGCTTAAAACTAACAGGCACCGAAGGCACTAATGGCTGAATGAGGCATTTGGCCTGACCCTGAGATAACAGGGCGCAGCAAGGTCTTGAGCGCTGACGAGACTGGAGCCACGTGACTATAAAAGGGTCTAAGTGAAAGAAGCATTGTTCACATTTGCTTTCCTGACCCTGAACACCCGCTTCCTATGGGCTAGGAGAGCTAGCTAGGCGAACCTTCAAGGTAAACTCCCCAACAGCAAAGAACTGTTCCAGCTGGGTTGAAAGTTAACTGTCTTGTGAGCGTGATTTGTGTATCTGTAAATGAACTGTAACCACCTGAATGAGGCCGTGGCTGTAAACCCTATAAAACCTATGCACAGTCGTGTCACGGGGCTTCACCTGTCTCAGAGAGTGTGGAATAAACTTCTTGCAGTCTCACGTGTGTCCCGGTATTTGGTTGTACTCTCTGGCTTGGTACAACAACCAGTAGTAAAAAACGCTGAACTGCGAACCAGCCCACTAGCTCAGCGCAGGATCAAGGCCTTGGAGGCCTCCTGCGGTGTCAGCAGCCACCCTTTAGCTGCTGGATTTTAGGGAAAAGGGGTATTCCCAGAGACAGGGCAAGTGGGCGCGAATGCTTAGACAGGAAGGGCTGTTCGCCAGTCAGCAGGGGAGCACTGAACTATTTCAACCATTGCTATAGTTGTGAAGTGAGGACAGGGTGGGGCCGGTGCGTCCTGAGGTGACACAGGGCTGACCTCCTATGTCACAGTGCCCACCAGGTCACAATGGACAAGGCTGCCCAAACCTGTGCCACCAAACCCTGACCCTCACTTTGCCGCTGGGTGGCACTGAACAGAGAAACTGCCTTGTAACAGGTCCCGCCCCTCCCTCTACTCCCTTTCTTACATCAAGAGGGGAAAAACACGGAACTACCTCTACCCCATCTGGTCACCATACGCCTACTACCTCTACTGTTACAAATACCGGATCACCCTCCGGGAGAGGATGCTGCCTCGTTGTTATAAAAGGTACTTGTTTTCATTTCTGTTTGTAATTTATATAAACTGTAAGGAAAAACGAACGTTTGAAAGCTTCCCACGTGACAGGAAATAATAGCAAAATAGAGTGGAAGGCTGGCCTGAGCTTTTAGAATTTTTACATTTTGCCGGCCTGGGAAGTGGAAATGTGTCAGTCCACAGGCAGCGCACAAGACAAAGCCAAGCCTGACGGTGAGCCAGGAAGCTGCCACCCTCTCCTCACCTCAGATTGCAGCGTGAATTTGGGTCTTGCTTTTCCATCCAGCATCACCTACAAGGAAGAGGAGGACCTGACACTTCGGCCCCGCTGCTGCCTCCAGTGCTCCTGAGTCCCCAGCAGGCCTCCAGGCGGGCAGGAGCACCGAGCACGGAGAAGACCAAGACCGGCCTAAAGTGCTAAGCTCAGTAAGTGGACTGTGTGAGCTGGCTGAAAGGGTACCTGGCACTGCCTACTGGAAAATGAATCCGAAATTTAGAGCTGCAGGGCATGTGTGAAAGCTGTCTAGTTACTGTCTCGGCAAGGGTTCTAGCCAGAGATCCTAGGAGAATGTCATACAGTGGCTAGTGAAAAGCAGGGTAGGAAAAGAAGTAGGAACAAAGGTAGAAGAGACTTCTACGACACAGAACTGGATCTAGAATCCCAGAGTCCCTGCGCTTGCCTTCGCATTATAGTACAGTAACACGCCTGGTTGTGAACTCTGCATTTTAAACGAGAAACGGAGGACTTGAGACGCCTCATACGATGACCGAAAGCAGGACAGTACAGTGAGAGAGGAAACAGACACCACAGATGCAAGCCGGAAGCTGGCTGGGGCGGTGCTGTCTGTCTCAGCTACTTGAGAGGCTGAAGCAAGATTTGCGTGAGCCCAGGAGTTTGAGGCCGGCCTGGATAACATGGCAAGAATGTCTCAAAACCAAACAGAACAAGGCACAAACAATGTGCTGTCTGCTGTAAACAGTAAGAGTCTGGGTAGGTGTGGCGGCACATGCCCGTAACACCAGCACTCGGGGAGGCTGAGGCAGGGACTCCCACGTTCACGTTCTACCCGGGCAACTCCGTGACACACTGCCTCAACATTTACCATTTTTAAAAGGTGGTGGTGGTGGATGTGTGTGCACGTGTGTGCTAGGTAGAGCGCTCTGGGTTTGAACCCCAGTACCACAAAACCAGAACAAAACATTAAAATGCGGAACAGTTAGTTCAGCCTGGGGTTAGGTTAACTGGCAGTCATACTCTGTTAAGTCTGGATTCTCGGTTTGATAGCACGTGGAACTCAGGGACCGGTGGCTGTCAGTCCCTAGGGTTAGGGAGACTCCTGCATCTACTCCCTGCCTGGCTCCCACAGATGTCCCCTAAACCTGCCCACCATCCAGCCGGAGGGCCAGATGAGTGCAGAAGCGGGAGACCATTGCTCTCATTTTCCTTTTCTCTCAGGCCGGGAACCTGACGGTGCTTTCTACGGACCCCCTGCTCCACCAGGACCCAGTGCAAGTAGACTTCCATTTCCGCCTCACCCCCCACGGCTCTGCCCACTGGCACGGCCTTTTCTGTGACCACCGACTCTTCCTGGACATCCCCAATCGGGCCCTGGACCGAGGCAACCGAGAAAGGTGACAGCCGGAATGGGCTGGCGGGGTGGGAATTTCACCTTCCGTTGTGTCACAATCAGTAAGCAGGGCCCGGGGGCTGGGGGTTCATGGGATAACAGTCAAGGGGAGGCTGCTGGACTTGCATTCAGAAACGCAAGTGGGGTTCTAACCAGTAGTTTCCAGCCACATGAGAGCCTCTTCTTCCTGGACCTCCTGTGGCCCACACTCAGTCCAGATGTGTGCAGTCCCATGACTCCTGACAAAAAGTCTCCAGAACTTTAGCCACTTTCCTGGCTCGGGTGGGTGTGGAGTAAGAAGTGACCAGTAAGCTTTCTTTTTCTCCAATTAGGTGTCTTTTAGATTTCTGAAGCAGCTAAACATTTTCTCTGTCCCCTAGTTTGACAGCAACACTGGAGTATGTGGAGGAGAAGACCAACGTGGACTCCGTGTTTGTGAACTTCCAGAACGACCGGAAGGACAAAGGTGGGGATCCGCTGTCCTCCTTGCCCACTCTACCGAGGCAGCTAACAGCTCCTTTTCCTTCACAGGAGCCCCTCTTCTCTCACTCTTGAATGGGCCACCCTCCGACATACAGCAGTTTTGTCCCTTCCTACCACAAAGGAAATGAAAGCTCACAGCTAGCATTCTGCTCCAGCAGGACGTTCAGGTCACAGCTGGACTGTCAGGAGGCCCCACAGGCAAGCTCAGAGGCCAGACGGAGGGAGCACTGTGAGACAACACACAATCCATGCAGGGGGTGTGGTCAGCCCGACAGAGGGGATGTCAAAGGCGTGAAGCAACTGCAGTGTCACAGGGTCGGGCGTGAGGCCAGGATCAGGTATAGAACCGGACACCCAGAGAGTATGTTATGGAAACCATGACGTCGTCCCTGTAGATTCTAGGCGTTTCCTTAGCTAAATGGTCAGTGTGGTATCGGGAGTAGATACCTCCTGAGTTAACAGTGCCATCACTATGCTGAGCGCTTTAGAAACACACAGCCTTAAATTCTGCGAGGAAGATGCTCTGCTCTCATTTTTACATATGAGAAAACTAAAGATCAACGGATTAACCAGGAAGGTTCCAAGGTAAGCAAGTGTTAAAAGCCAGGGTCAGGGCCTAGGTAGGGTCTGTTTCACCCAAGGCACGTGCTAATGACTGCACCACCCGTCCCCCAGAGGCCACTCCCTAGCAGGGCTCAGATCCCTAGGGGACACATGCCCCAGGTCCTAAGGGTGTTTTGTGCGTTCTGTCCTTTCACAGGTGACCTGCTGCGGGCCTTCAGCTACATGGGCTTTGATGTGGTCAGGCCAGATCACCCTGCCCTTCCTCCCTGGGACAATGTCATCTTCATGGTGTATCCCCTCGAAAGGGACCAAGGCCACCTGTCCAGTGAGCCTCCCTAAACACGCTCATCCCAACTCTGCGAGGGGCTGGAAGCTGTGACATGCAGGTCTCAAGGCCACCGCCACCCTAGGAATAAAGGGTACTGCAATCACCATGCGCAGTTTCTTGGGGTAGGAGGGGAACCGGGTTGCCTGGTGGGGAATGAGCGTTACAGCCGGGTTCACCGTCTGACAAGGGCCAGAGGTCAGAGGGCCCTGAGCCAGAGAGGGAAAGGACTCTGGGACTTCTCAATCCTGCTTTCCTCTTACCCCAAAGCTATTTCCTCGTTTAACCACTTCCTGAGTACCTGCCAAGGTAAGGACCAATCAACTGGCAGTTTAGAAAAAACAAATCCACACTTAGTTCAAACTGGAGACCAGCACCAATTCCTTCTTTGGGTATGGAGAAAACCAGAGAGGATACAAGGGGTGATGAGAAGATAAGGCTTACAAGACTTTATTAAAGACACATCCTGTAGAGCACTAGGATGCATTCAAGGCAAGAATTTGGGAAGGATTAACGGCAGTGTGTCCTTCACTGTATTTTTTGGATCGTCTGTCAGATACAAACTTTACAGTGTCCTCATCCACCTTATTCAGAGGGTCTGGCATTGTGCAATTTCTGGCTGTTCCCCAGAGTTGAAATGACCAGGAAAAGCAAATGTTTGGAATGGAATCAGGTAAGAAGGCAGGCATGGTGGGCAGCTAGAGATACAGGAGTCATCCCAGAACTGCTTGAGAAAAGTGGCAAGGACGCTGGGCTAAGTATGTTTCAAAGCGAGAAGGAAGTGTTCTTTCTGATGGGGATTAATGGCGGCGTGTCTGACAACCCTCACAAAGGTTTTTAAAAACGTTCACTGTAGTTTTTAATCATACCTCACAGTAGGACCCCTTGGCTGTGGCTCAAGGGGAGGCTCTCTCAAGAGAAGCAGCACAGAAGAGAGAGGGGTTATACCGGAGTGACGGAACCTTCAGGGTGGAATGTGAGATGAAAAGGCCGTATTAACAGATTTCTATGGTATTCTGATAGATGCTGGATTGCCTGTCATATCTACCGTATTTGATGGACACTGAATTGCCTTCTATGCTTATGTGGATAAACTGATTTGACAACTTTTATTGGCTTTAAAAAACTTTTTTTGGTACCAGGGATCGAACTTGGGACCTTGCACTTGCAAGGCAGGCAGCAGAACCACTGAGCTAAATCCCCAGCCCTAAAAAGCATTTTTAGTGTGAGAGCAAATTGCAGGCAAGAGACACTAATGTGCCAGAGCAGGGGGTCCTGTGAACACCCTGTATCTGGGCACCGCTGCCCTTGAGAAGGCCACAAGGGCGGGGCGTCGGGACTCTGCCCAGTGCTGGATGGGCTCCAGGGAGCTCACTGCACCAGCACCGGAGACGGCTGGACACTTCCAACACTGTGAGACTCGCTCTGCGCCGCTCCTGCAGACCCTTTTCGAGAAGAAAAAGATCTGTGGACTGGTGGAGGGACAGTACGGCTGCCAGGAAGCATGCAGTCAGACCTGTTTCTAGGCTGAGAAGGTCTGAGATATAAGGCACTCGAATCTGCCGTTTTGTTTTCCAGTTTACCTTTAAAAGCTCATGTGCACATCATTCTATCACACAGGTCATTCTGCATTTATGTGCTTTCAAAGTTACTGTAACCTCATAACACTGCAGAGACAGAGATGGCTGTGAGGAAACAGGCTCCGGGGTCTTATGGAAGGGGTAGTGAAACCCTTCCTGTGGAAGCCAGTTTTCTAGACTGCTAATCCAGATAGGACTCCCTCCCTTCACCCCAAGGCCAAACAACGCAAGCAAGGTTTTATTTCCGCACCTAAACCTGCACTGGTTCTGGTTCTTGGGGAATGGGTAACCCGGACATGAAGGAACGGGTGTGTGTACGGAGGAGACCGTGACGTGAGGCAGAATCGCAGAAAATACTGCACCCACAAGCCAGCTCCCATGCCGCGATTCAATCAGCACTTGTTTTTAGATAACTCAGAATTTTATTTAGCAAAGAATCCCTCAAATGATTGTAACCCAAATGTGTACGTTCTTTCAGTGTATTTCACACATATAATATACCAGCAACTGAGAATACTTCCCAAGCCACCTCTCTTCATTTTTAACTAAAGTTTACAAGAAATAGCTGGAGCACGGTTTCAGAATCCTGTCTCCAAGAACACATCGGCAGTGGGAGAGGGGAGGTGGCCTCTCGTCCTACCTCCCAAGGCTTTTTAATAGATCTATGCTAATTTTTGCCTTTTCTTCCTGGCTCAGCTTGTCTTTGAGTCCAGTACTCTAATGCTTCCCTTAGCAAGAGGGACCCAGGGAGGGGAGTCACAAGTCTGCAGTCATCACTGCTCCCAGTAACCAACGCACGGCTATTTCCCAGCCTCAGAAAGGTCACGGCCTAGGAGTCTGCGTTGTGACGGGCACGAGCCGAGGGGAGCCTGAGTTGGCAGAGCCTAACAGCAGGGTTCTGGGAAGACGCAGGAGGGGTTGGGGTGGGCGACATGGGAAGGGAAAGTATTTGTCTTCCTCTGGCCCCAAGGTGAAAAGGGATTTGGTCCACAGCTAGCCAGACAGTAACAAAGTGTGTAATAAAGGAAGGACTGCATGTATCTCTTTATCAGACTTCTCTCCAGGAAGCAACTCCTGTGCCAGGTCCTGTCAAAGACACAAACACAGAGACAAAGCTCGAGAGGGCTCGATCTGAGAGCAAATTAAGCTGCAGAAAAGCAGCTGCAGAGAGACGGAGGAAGCTAGGACACGGGGAAGAGGGAATGACAGACAGCAAGGCCCCGGTGTCACCCTCATTACTTTCCCGTCACTACAGACAGCCAGCTCCACTCACAGCAAAGCAGGCGGAAGCCCAGGCTTCAGAGTAAGTAGTCGTCTTCGAGGTTTTCATCACCAGACATAGAGGCAGCTTCTATTGAGCAGAAGTGAGGAGAAAGTTAGATGCTGCCCTGTTCGAGCAGGCACTGCCAGGGGGGCCCAGGAGAAAAGTGGGCTCGCAGTGCTCAGTGACCTAAGAACTGAGCTTTAACTTAAGCGCCTTAGTCTGGAGAGGCTGACTGAGGAAAGCTGACCTCCAAAGACTCCGCAGGCAGGGGACACAGTTCTACCTGATAAGCTGAGGCAGGACAGGGTATGTGCCATCTCTCCAGGGCTCTTTTTGGGCTCAGTCAGCAGGCTGGCGAGAGAAGCATCTGTTTCTGTGGCCTGAGGGCATGAAAACAAGAGGAAGTGGTTCCTAGAGAGGCACAGGCTTAGTTCACTACGTTTCTGGGAAGAGGCACCCTAAGCGGGAACTACCACGGGGATGGCTCACCATGTCCTTCAGCATGCCCGGGACAGCTCCGCTTTCTTCCATGTCTTCCGGAAGCTCAATGGCATACCCTTTTCGAACTAATTCTAGCCCAATATCCAGCTTCTGTGAAGAAAAATAAAAGGGGAATGATATCCTCTCGGTGAGGAAAGGCCAATCTGAGGAGACGGGACAGAAGACTAGGAGTGATACTTTAAAGACTCCTCTGATGGACCGGTGAGCGGGACCTCCCAAAGTAGGAGGGATATCAGCCAAGGGTTTCTGGGAAATAAAATGAAATGCAAGCAGCATTACGAAAAGCAGAAGGTACAGTGAGCCTGAGTGAGCCCCTGTTACCTGCCCATTGATGGTATCGTATAAGTAGATCTTTGGCCAAGTGGAGATCCCAGTCTGGACATAGCTAGAGATCCTGGCCACCAGTGGCTTCCAGTCGGCGCAGTAGGTGAGTCTTTCAAACTCATCTAGAGCTTCCTCTTCCCACTGCTCACCTGCGGAAGATTACAGTGTGTGTGGGTGCCTGCGAGGGGTAGTCCCAATAGGGTACCCGCCCCGTCCTCACAGGAAGGTGCTGGGTTATTCTCTACTGGGTTTGGGTCTAACTGCGGGCAGGTTTCTATCCGATGCTTTCTAGTGCTAAAAATAAACAAACAAACAAACAAGTAAAAAAAAAAAAAAGGATACCAGAACCTCTAGAACTCAAAAAGCCTGAGAAGGTGCAAGTTCCTCTCGTGGAGGCAAGGCAGTGGGTGGGTGACTGCAGTACCTGAAGGGGCGATCCGCGCCAGACTACATTCTATTGCTTGAAATGGAAGGCTGAGGAAGTCACTCCTAAAGCGAAAGAAACTGCAGTTAGAGTCCTAGGACCAGGAGGGCCTTCTCACATTCCTTGCTTTTAGACAGAACTAAGCCGGTTCAAGAAGAAATCACTGGCGCTCCGAGCAGCTTCCCCCGACCCCCCCCCCACCATGATGAGCGCTAAGCTCAGCTTTCGGGGAGCAGGAGTCCACCCTGGCCTCAGCACCGACCTGAGAGCCCTGAGGTCCCCCAGTGGGCAATCTCCATTATCTCCAAAGTCAACGAAATAGAGGTCCAGGTTCCCATTCTCCAACGTGCCAAGGACCCGCGCTCGATACCAGGAGCCGTTGGCAGATAAGGGCGCAGCTACAATGTCTCCTGCGTGCACGGTCAAGTCTTCCGGCTGCACGGGGGGAAGCCGGGAGGGGCAGAGTCAGAAGCGGGTGCCAGGAGGAAGAGCAAAGCGCTGAGGAGCCAGGGTACTCTCCGGTGACCCCAGCCCTGCCCCGGATGACTCACTGGACTGTTCTCGTAGTGCTGGGTCATCTCGCTCACGAGTTTATCGAGCTGCAGGCTGCGGGAGCCAACGATCTGGATCCAGAAGTGGTTGGGGTGTTCAGATGCAGACACATAGACCTCCAGGTACTCATCGGCATGGAAACTGAAGTCCGGACTGGGGACTGAACACAGGATAAGGGCGTGGCCACGTCAGAACCATCTCTGGCCGGAATGGGGAGCTTGCACAGCAGGGGTGGGCGGGAGAGGTACAGACACTGAGAGGCTATGAACCCTCCGAAAACTGGCTGGAGGATAACTGGGGGCTCACAGGAAGACATCGTGAAGATGTGCTACGTCATTTTCTGTCCCTTTCCATGTAACTAGGTGATAATGCAACACCTCAGTCTTTTGGCATAAATCCCTCACCAATTATAATGAAGATAAATCCTCCATCTGCCAGCTGCAGCCGGGTCAGTAAAAGACACATGGACAGCAACTCTGCTTGTCCCAGATCCCATTCTACCATGTACTCATCCTGTGATCCTGGACAGGCCCAGGAGCCTCTCGTGTCCCTGGTCTCCCTGCCCACGCCAGCACCCCTGTGTACAGGAGAAAGCTCAAGGCCTTTCCATTCTTCTTGAATAGCGATTTTTTAAAAAAAACAGCAATGACTCAAGGCAAAAGAAAAAATCAGACTGAGAATTTATGTAACAAACATCTAAGAATCAAATATAAATTCAATTATTTGAGGTATTAGTCTACTTTCCTGTGTTGGCCTATTTCTATCTTATTTTCCTTCACCATTAGCTGGTTTATATTCAGAAAAATATTATTAATGCTTAGTATTAATCTAAGAAAATTTTATCAGAAAGTTATTATCTATAATGACAGACTTATACTTGCAGTCATAAAATAGAATTTTTATTGCTTCCTATTTGGGAATTAAACCAGGACTCCTATCTTTCATAAGGCTAATGTGTTCCCTCTTTGTTACATACTTTCAAAAATGGACTTCTCTGGGCTGGTCTGGGCTCCAGACTTCTGAAAGCTGTTATCGGGTTCTTCCCAGGAACCTTCTTTTGGTCCCACCACAGCCGGGTCGCCACCTCCCTTGCGGGGAGGGACCGCCAGGGGTGCAGCCTGCCTGCCACCACAGCTGGCATTTCTCCATAAAGCTGGCTCCCCAGCGCCGCCCGACTCTGTCATCTCCTCCCTTCTCACGCTGATCGGCTGCTTGCGTGGAATCCTGGCTTCTGCAGAATGCACGATTCTCTTCCGAAGTTCTTCGTCTTCTGACACCTTCTCCAGGATCAAATGCTGTGGAAGAGAAGCAGAGGGACGCTATCTGTGCAGCCAGGTACCAATCCAGGAGGGAGTCGAGGCTGCTTCTCACTGTCAGCCACGAGTCACATCTGGAAGTTACTTGCCTTGGCTGTTGCCACTTCCTTCTGTGTTCCTGAGATTTTGATAAGTCTCGACAGCAGTAATGTCCCCTCCGACTCTTTGTCACAGGTAATTTTGGCTCCTGAGGCCTTGCAGATAGAACGAATTGTCTCGCCGCCTCTCCCTACATGGAACAGTACATAAAAGCCTGTCCTTCCCAGCCTTAACTGCCAGAGAAATCCATATGCCATACGTACTAGAGGAGAGAGTTGTTATTTCCAAAAGGAACGGAACGTAAGGTGATGAAACAGAAGGAAACCTGGAGCTACTGGAGAATGCAGGACCCGCTTTAGCCATTTTTTTTTTTAAAGCTGTACAATCAGGCTAGGTTAACTTCTACCACATCATTTCCCTATCTGGACTGCTCAGCAAGGCCACGGTTTATATTCCCAGCTCCTAAGAGGACATGGCGCATAGTTTACATGGTGGGACAGGACATTTCTCTGCCTCTGACAGCCACACCAGCGGCCCTGATTCAGAAAGCACAACAAACGCTCGGGAGAGCACTGTCTCACGGGACCTGGGCTAGCACGAACACTGCCATGAACACCTAGAAAAATCCATTATGAGGTGAATACATTTACCAGAACACTTCTGGAACCTATCTGTAAGCTTCGGCCATACAACTTCCTTCCTGCTCAGGGCACTCCAGATCCCCAGCCCCAGCCCCCTGCTTTTTTCTTTTTTCTTTTTTTTTTTTTTTTGGAAACAGGGTCGAAGTCGTCCATGCAGTACTCAAACTTGCAGTCCTCCTGCCTCAGCCTCATTCAAGTTATGATTAAAGGAGTAAAAGTGTGTGCCATTCACCCATCTCGGCTCATACAATTTTTTTTTTTTTTTTTTTTGGAAACAGGGTCGAAGTCGTCCATGCAGTACTCAAACTTGCAGTCCTCCTGCCTCAGCCTCATTCAAGTTATGATTAAAGGAGAAAAAGTGTGTGCCATTCACCCATCTCGGCTCATACAATTTTTTTTTTTTTTTTTTTTGGTACTAGGGATCGAACTCGGGACCTTGTGTTTGAGAGACAGTAAAGAGAAAGTAAAGTTCTAATCTCAATATCCAACTTGATTTTCCCCTCAGCAGGGTTAAGAGGGAGGAGGCCGGGAAAGCCCTCGGGAAGGTATGAAAGGAAAGAAGAAAGGGAAGAGAGGAAGGTGTCCAGTGGTACCTATGATTCTGCCCACAGCCCTCTGGGGCACCGAGAGCTGCTCAGACACTGGGGTGTTCTCCGTCAGGATCTGGTGGATCGCCGCTTTGGCCTTGCACACCTGAACGGGAAAGCCACTGATGAGCAGCACTCGCTCTTCGCCTATGTCCTCCGTGTCCACATCGATCCGAGCGCCTGTCTGCTTCCGCAGCTGCAGGGGGGCAGAGGGAGAGGGAGAGAGGAGAGAGAGAAGAGAGAAGCTCGCACTTGGGCACAGCTAAGAGGAGTCTCAGCAAAACCCTGGAGGAAGACAAGGTCAACCGAAAGCACCAGCTACCTGGGGATGCATAATCAGTCCTCATTTACTTCTGCTTATGAAAGAGAGGAGTGACAAAGGCGACCCCGAAGAGCCTTAATTCAAAGCCATTCCCTTTGAATCTGCAACCTTTTCCCCAGCTAATTTTATTGGGAGTAGAAAAACGAGGATTTTGTCTTCTCGGCATTTTGGCTGGATAGTAGAGTATGGTAAGAAAAGCTTGGAAGCCATTGTACATTTACTGACTCCGTGTAATAGAAAAGACTAGTTCAAGACTAGTTCAAGCTGTCACGAATTGAGATTCATGCAATGAAACACTATTTCAAGCATTCATTTTCCAGAGAGAAGTACTCATCCCTGGAGAGGAAACAGCATGTTTAGCTTTAAAAAAATTCCTGTGTGTGTGTGTGTGTGAATGGGCACAAGCCCAGGGCCAGCGTACGCCAGGCACACACTCACCCCTGACCCACCTCCTCAGCTATTTTTCTTTTTAAAATATACACAGCACGGCACGGTTTGTGACATGGGGTCCGAGGAAGGAGACAGGCCTGCTCACACTCACCTGTTTAATATTGGCTCCCTGCCGGCCGATGATGAGCTTCACAGCCTCCTGGGGAACCCGCATCTCTATCTCGATGTCGTCCTCCCCAACGAATGTCAGCCGCTCTTCTGCAGAGACCGTGCGTGGCTCATTAGATCAGACTGAAAACACCCAGAGCTGCCACCACCCTGGCCCTCAACCTGGCTGTCAAGGAGACCCTAATCCAAGGGTAAACAGAGGCTCTCGAGCACAGTGACAAGAAGTGGCACCAGCGTAGGAACTGGGTCCCAAAAGGCAAGCTCAGGGCTGGGGCCTAGCAGACAGGAAGCCAAGTTCAAGTCCCAGGGTCCCTTGTCCCCCAAACTACGATTTAGCATTTTCTCAGGGGTACTATTTCAGATGTTAAAATAGGAAAAGCAGACTGCAAAGAGGAGGTTTTAGGCAAACTCCTTTTCCCAAGACAATTCCAGAAGCCTGAAGCCTGAAGTTGCCTGATGTGTTTAAAATTTCTCCTGACTTCTTGGTACCTTAACTATTTTTCTAGGTCCTATTCTCCAGGTCTATCCTGGGTAGGTATCACCTTGCCCTAACAACTAGTTAAAAATGAGGAACATAGATTTTGCTAACGGGAACAGATCAATGGAGTTATGAATTCATTTCATAGATTAGCTTCACATTAAGGACTGGCAAAGGAAGAAAAATATTTTCAGTCAAATATTTCTCACAGAAAGCCAGTTATATCTCCACAAACAACACCCAGTCTGACAAGAAGCGAGTTCTCATGTGAATTTTAAAGGTGGGAACATGATCTGAGCATCTGGGCGGTTGCAGCGTGGGGGCCACACACCCCTGCTTTCCCTGTACCGCCGGTACAGGATGTAGGCCACGGCGGCGCTGGCAGGGACCCCGAGGCCCAGTGCGACTTTCTGAATGGTGGACAGGCTCGTCCAAGAAGTCTGCTTGGTGGACATTTTCTGCTGTACTCTTAAATCCTGAAAAAGCAAACCAAGAAAAAACAGCTTTCAACCAACACTTGTTTGCCTGGCAGAGAATGAGAACACAGTTATTGAAAAGAACACTGCTGCGCATTTTCCCATTTCAAGAGCTTTCAAGGAAGAGGTCTGGGGTGTTTTTACAGTTAGCCTGGGGACACACAAACTGAGCAGAAGAAACATACTTCACTGGTTTTCCCCTAAGGAGAGTTGTATACTGACCACTTTTAAAGACAAGGGATGGAATTACTAAAGAGCAGATGGTTAAGAAACATATGGACTAGATGTTGATTCCTTCCTCTTTACTAGGAAGCAGTCTTCACTTGCTGTCTTTATTCCTAGTTTCTATTTTTATTTTTCAACTAACAGTGAAATGCCGTTATGCCCCGCTCCCTCAGCAGCGCTAACTTCCCAGGTAATCGACCCACAGGATGTGTGGGAAACTCTATCCTAGCTTCGCACCCACACCCGCCGGCTCCGCTCTGTTATGATCTGTACGGCAGCGACTCCAACGACACAGACTTGGGCTGATTCAGAGGCGATCCAATTTCACGGGCGCTCCGAGGGCCTTCTCACTGTCTGATAGATACCGTCCCTGCATTTGCTGCCAAGTAAACGCTGACGTTTCCCTCACTGCGAGGCCTTAGTGCACACGTGCGCAGAGGCCCCCAATCATTCCAGACTTCCTCGTTTCAAAGCTCTACTGCTGCCTCCTCCATGCATTCAAATGACGCCCTTGCTTCCTATTTCACTGAGAAGGCAGAGCCTTGGGAGAAGAGGGGCGCAAGCTTCGCACGTTCACCCCACTTGCTTGTGAGCAGCCGCTCTGGTGACCCAGGATGCCCTCCCTCTGTTCCCAGCCCTTAAGTCTTCACAGTAGGGCTGCCCCACCGTTCTGCTTCCTTCTCCCGCACTGCTGATCTCTCCCACGGACCTTCCCACTGGCAGGCAAACGACCCCCCTTCCCACAGAAACCCTGCCTGGATCCCACTCATCCTCCACCCACCTCCCACTTCTTTCCTTTGACCTGAAGGCTTCAGAGCGCCGCTCCCCGTTCTGACGGCCCTGGTCAAGGGCACCGTGCTCTGCCTCCCTAGATCCAAAGGTCGTTTCTCAGCGCCCACCTCACCGAGCTTTGCGTCAGTGTCTGTGGGGCCCATTTCTCTAAACACCCTCTTCCCGGGGCTTCCCCAGCCAGGCTTGCACCTCCCGTTCCAGCTCAGCTCTCAGTCTCAGTTGCCTGCCCCTCCCTCTCCCTCTCCCTCTCTGTTTAAACATTTATTTTTAAACAGGGTGCTTCAAAGGCAAACTCCTGCTCCGTAAACCTTAAGCTAAGTATAATACATTTGCAAGTAAACCACTCTTCCTGCACTTAACTGTAACGCAGTAGATTACCTCCCATTTATTTCTGAACATCCTTTTCCATGGTGATTTACAGGAACTATCTTAGCCAATATAAATATTTCATAAACATCTGGCTGCTTTCTAACCAACTGAGAATCTACCTGTTGCTCTTTAAGTCACCTCACATCTTTCGGCAAGAGAAATACTAACCCTTAACCGTACAGCCGTGGTTGACCAGCGGGCACGGCCACATCTGCCGTCAGCATCACTCCGTGACAAGTGCCGCAGCTGCTCCACTAAGAAAACATCGCTCACGATACGCGGCAACAGTCATTTCCTTACACTCCTAACCTCTGCACGACTCCGAGGGCTTTTTTTCATTTTTAGTAGTAATGAACGTGGAACTCACAGCCCAGGGCACCTCAGCTGCTCGTCTGGAGCTGAGCCAGAGAGCTCCGCCACGGCGTAGGCCACGGACTCAGGCTCCTTCCCAAATGTGCTTCTCCGGGCACAGGAGGACGGCTCCTCAGCCGGACACAGGTGTGGGAGTCATGGTGATTTTACCCTTTTCCTTTAAGACCAAAACAATCACGGCGAGAGCTACACATACTCACTAGGTGTCCTGATTACTGAACGAGTCACAGAGAATGCCCTCTCCTCTTATCCCTTTATAGCCTCAGGCCTGCTTTTGGCACAAATGCACATTTTCCTGAAGTCCTGGACCACTAATCCCACTTAGCTTACAAATCTGCTAACCCTACTCAGAACTTTTCTCTGTCAATGCCAAGAACCCTGAACCCTATCGCCAGAAGACATCACTCAGTCTCCCAACATTTAGTTACCCTCAGAACTGAGAGAAATAACAAAAGAACCTGGTGGAAACACTCCTGAGATAACATCCCTAAACTATTTTCCTCACATTATAATTAAATGTAGGCTGGGCATGGTGGCGCACACCTGTAATCCCAGCACTCAGGAGGCTGAGGCAGGAGGATCACTGTGAGTTGAGACCAGCCTGGGCTACATAGTGAGTTCCAGGTCAGTCTCAACTACACAGTGAGACCCTGTCTCAAAAAAAACAAAACACCCGCCCCCCGAAACATAAAGGTGCCTGCTCTTCTCTGGCTGTGCTTTCTCCTCTCGTGGGGTTTGCCCGCTGCCCCCTGGCAGTAAACTCCTCTCCTCTGTTCCCTGACTGGTGGTGACTCTTTTTATCACCTGTAGCACTGACCTCTCACATGTGCACCATCCACAGTAACAGGGACCCTTCTCTTTGCCTTCTTTTTCTGATCATTTTCATGCATTTCAGGAAGCAATCTTGGCTCTCAAGAGTTAATACACTCAATATTAAATATGCTCAATGGGTGGGAGTGGTGGTGCACACCTGTAATCCCAGCACTCAGGAGGCTGAGGCAGGAGGATCGCTGTGAGTTGAGACCAGGCCTGGGATACATAGTGAGTTCCAGGTCAGTCTCAACTACATAGTGAGACCCTGTCTCAAATCCGCCCCCCAAAATATGCTGATCTTTCAGGAAGAATCTTGTCCTTAACTTGCTTGTTTATGACAATGCCACAAGCAGGCTGGGGAATGCTGTAGACTTCCAGTTTTGCCATGGTTACGTGTGTGGCATTGCTTTTGAACCACACCCATTCCCTTGATGTGCACACCACCATCCCTTTTGTAGATCTGCACAGATGTGGCCAAAGGGACAACGCCATGCTTTTTTTTTTTTTTGGTATCGGGGATGAACTCAGGACCTCGCACTTGCCAGGCAGGTGCTGTGCCACTGAACTACATCCCTGGCCCTGACTCCACACTTTCTAGGAGGCCTAGAGGACATGTTTGGGGTTCCTTTCCCCTCTCCCTCTGTGTTCATCACTTTGGTGAATTACTGTAAGATGGTAGTTCTGGACAAAAGACCATGTTTTATTCTTTCTTTTTATTCTTTTTGGTACTGGAGATGGCACCAAGAGCCTTCATACTAAGCTACATCTCCAGACCCCCACCTTTAAAAATTTTCAGGTAGGGTCTTGCTAAGTCACTGAGTTGCCCAGGCTGGGCTCAAACTTCTGATCCTCCTGTCTCATCCTCTCAGTATAAGGAAAGGGTAACGGGAGTTGCCAGAGACTCCTGCAGCGCTCCTGGCCTCCTGAAAGCCAGTGTGACTTCGGCGAGATAGGAAAGTGGGGATTAAAAGAGACACAGAGACAGACTCGAGAGAAACCGAGTCTTGGGCTGATCTAAGCTGGTCTGGGCAGCAAACACAAAGGACTCCAGGACGTCCAGGGTTTTTCCATTACCAGTGTGAGAAGGGGGAGCTGGGCAGGCACCCGGACACTGCTGATAACAAGTATCGAGCAGGCGGGACTGCAGAACCAGGGCACAGGCTTATTGTATCTTTGCTGAAAAGAATACACGGTTAATTCAGAGGGGAGGAATTCAGCTGGAGTCAGGTGACCTTGGCTGGGAGAGAACAGGCCAAGCTCTGCTCCTTCCAGTGTGACACAGCCCGAGTTCGTTTCGGAGGGCAAGAAGCCCGCGCTGCTGCAGCCCCACGCCGGGACTCGTGTGCGCCAGCACCCCGAATTCTCCCTTCTCACCCTGTACCCAGGGGAGTCCCTCTGTCCCACAGCTCAGCTTCACAGCAGTTAGCTGCGCCTTCTTGTGGGCTCCAGGCCTGTGCCCCCAGCTCCCGGCTCCAGACACTCACTGCACTAAACAGCAACAGCATTTCTTGGTTCGTTCGGCTGAAAATCTTAGTCATCCCTTCTGGCAAACTACATAGTCAGTCTGTCAGCAATGTATTCCACCTTCAAATTCTCCAAAATCGGACCGCTTTTACCTCCCCACTGCTACGGTTTTGCTCCGCGACGCCTACCCTTAGCCTGGACTTCTGCCATCGCCGAGTTCCATCCCCGCCCACTTGGTTCTCAACACAGCCGCTTCAGCGGCTTCCCGACCGGCTGGTGAGGAGCCAGTCACTGTAACCACCCAGCGTCCACCTCCCCTCTAGGAGGCTGCTCTCCACAGGCAGCGATTACCTTCCTTTCCCTCCAGTGCTTGGCCCACAGCACAGCCACTCCAACAGCCCGTCAATAATAACTCGTAAATGAGTACACTTTCCCATGTTTTCAAGGGCTGTCTCCTGCCTACCGAACTCCTTAACGTAACTGATTTCGGCCTGCCGCCTTCACAGCCACAGACACACATTCCGGCCCCTCTCGGGACAGCGTGCGCTCCGGTGACTCCCTGACAGAACTGCGCCCACTCGAGGCTCACAGGACTGCGTGCACCTGCTCACGCCGGCCGGGACCCAGACCCTCCTCTCCACGGGCGGGGGCTCCACCCCTCCAGCCCCGCCTCATTTATCAGGCACTTCTCTAGTGCTAGATGCTGCTGCGGCACTGAGAACACAGAGACGGAAGGACAAATGTGTGAGGGATCGGCCTTCAAACAACCCTGCACGGCAGGAAATACTACCCTCGGTTTGGAGGTACTGCCTGTGACCGAGGGGTCACCCAACCGCTCACTGGGAGTCTGGGTTACTATGTGCTTAGGAAAAAACCTGTTGCGGTGATTCTAGAAGTAAGTCCTTCCCAGCTTTGCCTTAACCTAAACTCTGAGATATCCGGTGTTCTTATTCTCAACTTTGAAT